GTGTGTGAGGAAGATCAGCACTGAGCTAACATCTGCCAATCATCCTCTTTTTGCCGAGGAAGACTGACCCTGGGCTAACATCCATGCCCATCTTCCTCCACTTTATATGGGACGCCACCACAGCATGGCTTGCCAAGCGGTGCATCAGTGCGCACCCGGGATCCAAACCACCGAACCCCAGGCCGCCGCAGCAGAGCACGCGCACTTAACCACTTGCGCCACTGGGCCAGCCCCATTGTCTTTTAAATCCTGTAGAAAATAAAAAGTGGAATTACAAACCAAAATTATAATAATACTGCTTTTTATATTTGCCTATGTGTTTCCTTTACTGGCAATCTTTATATCATCATGTGACTTTGAGTCACTGTCTAGCTTTCTTTCATTTCAACCTGAAGGACTCCCTTTAGCATTTCTTGTAGGCCAGATCTGGTGGTAATGAACTCTCTCAGCTTTTGTTTATCTAGGAATGTCTTCATTGCTCCATTTTGAAGGGCAGCTTTGCCACATAGAGAATTCTCAGTTGACAGGTTTTTTTCTTTTAGCACTTTATGTAATTATCCCACTGCCTGCTGGCCTCCAAGGTTTCTGCTGAGAAATCAGCTGATCATTTTGTTGAGACTCTCTTGTATGTGATGAGTCCCCTTTCTCTTACTGCTTTCAAGATTCTCTTTTTGTCTTTGGCTTTGGACTCTTTGGTCATAATGTGTCTCAGTACGGTTTTTTGGGAGTTTATCTCACTTGGAGTTGTTTAGCTTCTTGGATTTGTAGATTCATGTCTGCAAGTCATGGCAGTTTTTGGCTATTATTTCTTCAAATAATCTCTGCTCCTTTCTCACTTCTGGACTCTGATAATGCATATATTGGTGTGTTTGATGTTGCCCTTAAGTTCCTTAGGCTCTTGTTGCTTTTCTTCATTCTTTTTTCTTTCTCCTCCTCAGACTTGATCATTTCAAATGTCCCATCTTCAAATTTGTTGATTCTTTCCTCTGCCTGCTGAAATCTGCTGTTGAATCCCTCTAGTGAATTTTTCAATTCATTTCCTGTATTTTTCAGCTCTAGAATTTCTATTTGTCTCCTTTTTATAATTTCTGTCACTTTGTTGATATTTTCATGTTGTTCATGTATCATTTTCCTGATTTCCTTTAGCTCTTTGAGCATGTTTAAGACAGTTGTTTTAAAGTCTTTGTCTAATAAGTCCAATCTTCAGGGAGGGTTTCTGCCCATTTATTTTCTTCTTTTGAATGGGCTATGTTTTCCTGTTTCTTTGGCCTTGTGATTTTCTTTCGTTGAAAATTGGACATTAGAAAAAATAGCCACCTCTCCTAGTTTGGCTCTGTGCCAGAAAAGTCCTTTACTAATTAGCTGAGCATGCTCTGGGCCTTGGGATTAGCCAAGTGTGAAAGCTTAAGGTCTCCTCAGGTCTTTTCTGAGCATGTTGTGCCTGGGCCTGTGTGTGGCCTTCTCAATTCCACTATATATATACAGCTGCTTTTGAGTGTCTTAATTCCTCAGAGAGTCTTCTCCCAGCTTCTCCTTGGGGCCTTAGATTGTGTACTATATGTCTCCACCCATAATATCTTGCCCCAGGCACCTGCATCTCTGTCATCCCCATGTAGCTTTCCCAAACAGTAGCCATTGCTTTTCCACCTAAGAGCCAAGTTAGGTAAAACAGAGACCAGTCCTTCAGGCAGCCCCCAGATAGGTTAGAATGCTGTAAATAAGGTCAGCTCTACTCCCTCCAGTCTGAGGGAAGCATTTGGGAACTGGGCTGCTGCTTCCTGCAGACCAAGACCGTGCCAGGGAAGGGGTGAGGCAAACACGAGTAAAAAATGCATTTCCTACCATTTTGACATTTCCTGCCATTTTGAATGTGGCTTTTGTGAATGAGATTGGGCATTCACTTGGTTGCTGTAGACCTTTGACTGTTTTCCAGAGTTCTTATAAGGTTATTTTAGCCAGTCTGTTGGTTTTTGATGTTTCCATGGGGGAAGGAGGACTAGGGGCATCCTAATCTGCCATTTTGCTGATGTCACTCTGATGTTTGGACTTTAATGTTAAAGCTATTAAATCACAGTTTCTTCGTGTATTCACTGGGGTTAGGTGGAACCTGCCTATTAAAAGTCCACTCCTCACAGCCACACTCTCTTGAGTAGTTTGGGTACCAAGAGTACCAAGCCTGGAGACCAGGTGAAATGGCATCTCTGGTTTCTCTCTTTAGGGGGGGCAGCTCAACTGAATTGGGGGATAGGGCTTGAGTACCACACATCTGGCTTTCTTTGAGGTGTTGGACAGTCTGTCCTATTGTACTTTTGGGCAGTGGTGGAATGTGAAACTTGTAGACCCTGCCCCATGGATTGGGTCCCAGAAAGGAAGCATCTGCAGGTGTAGAGCTCTCATAGGTGACCTAGATGGGAACAATGGCCACAGATGATCTCATTGGCAAACAGTAGTCTCCAGGAGAGAAGAAGGGCCTTGTATGCTCCATGCACCTGTCACATTGGGCCAAAGAGAAGAAATGTGAGCATGAGGGTCTTCACTGACCTTCAACAAGTCAGCTGCTTCTGTGTGGATGGGGAGGGCAGGCCTGGATTGCAGCACAGACAGAAAAGCCTCCGGAGCCATGAACAGCTGAGCTGACTGACCTTCTGCGATGGCTGCCCCAAGACAGCTGGTCTAGAGCGTGACCAGGGAGGGAATGGCAGGAGAACACTCACCCTGAGGCACCGCTGTCTGAGCTAGACAGGCCAGTGGGCTGTGAACCTGAGGCGCGCTTCCAGTGCACGTCATGGCAGAGACTTCTGTGGAGCTGACCCTGCGCTTTCTGAGACAGCACTCGGGGAGGGCTTGCCAGCTTGTGGCCTGACAGCAGAGGCTTCACCAGCCGGCAGAGGCTGAGACTGTCAATGTTCCCTTCTTCTCCTCCTCCTACCAAAGCACCCTGATCCTATCTTCTACACTTGCTGGAGTCTTCTCCTGGCCCAGCAACAGGTGGGAATAGTCTCTGCCCTGGCCTGAGCAGTCCTGGCCAAGCATGTGTGTCCTGGAGCAGCTGGCTTCTGCCCGTCCCCACAGTCTAGCACAGTCCATCTGAAAACAGGGAGCACGGGCCTCTTTCCTGGCACCTGTCCCCAGCGCCATTAGCACTCACCTAGCATAAGTGCCTCTTAGCAGCACTGTGCTACGTCCAGTCTCATCCTAGGAAAACCCCCAAAGGTCATCTGCTCCTCTCAGGTGGAGATCCCATGTTGAGAGCCGTTGTGAGTCACTGTCAATTCCAGGGGAAGTCACCTGCCTTTAGCTGTGGGGCCAAGTGACTTGGGCCTTGGATCCACCTCTTGGCGGGGCAGGGTGGCCATAACTGCTAACCAGTCCCTGCAGCCCTGCTGGTGACTGCCAGGCCTCAGCAAAGACAGCAGGATAGAAGTGGAATGGAACAGAGGAAGTAGCTCCTGGCCAGTTGTCAAGAACAGTACTAGGCGGGCCCCTAGTTTGCCCCCTGGGAACAGTTCCAGGGGTAAGAGTTAGGAGGGGACAGGCTTCCAGCCCCAAGAGTATGTTTCTTTTGATTCGGCTGAACATCTGAATTCTTGTCCCACTGTTGGCCACTCATAAGACATGTCCTTCACTCTCTGAACAGCACATCCACAGCCCCAAATGGCCCACAGAGCTCGGCCGTCAAAGCTGGGCTTCTGGCAGATGGCAGAGACCACTGCATACCTTTTGTCCTTAGCCCTTGCTCTACATGGGCCTCACCGAGAACCTTCACATGCTCCCACTGACAGGCCCTCCAGAGAAGGCCATGTTGGGTCAAAAAGTTCTCTCTGCCCAGCAGGGGCAGCCTATACCTCGGGCTCTCACAGGCTGCTCTGACAGTTGGGAATAAACGATCCAGGTGCCCCTGAGGACAGCCATGCCTTCCAAACAGAGGGATCCCCCCAGAGTGATGGTTCCACCCCTTCTACCTGTGCATGAGGGGGAAAAGGCTGGTGTCCAGGACAGCAGCTCCTTCAGCCATCAGCCCCTTACCTGGCCCCAAATATTTTAGGGTCCTATCTGAAATGCTCACATTTCATTTTGAGCTGCCCACCCCAGCCCATTCCCACATTCCTTGATTCTGCACTCAGTCACCCCTTATCATCCTGCCCCTCGTGAGACTGACCTTAACTCTCAGCACTGGCTCCCTGGCTCCAGCAGGAACCTCTCAGTGATTCTCGTTGCACCCTCAGACCCCCCGAGTTCCCATCTCGTTCCAGGAAACCGCTCTGCTTCATTGCCACCCTGGGGGCATCCTCTCACCCTTTGCTTTAGGACCCTTTGGTGAAAGTGAGACCTTATGAAGAAAAGACCAAGAAGCTTCATTATATCTTTCGAGATAAACTTATCCTTTCCCCTAGGATCTTAATTATATTTCCAGTTCTTTGCTGTTCTCGCTGGAATCCTAAAGATGTTCTAGAAGAGTTTGACTAAAGTACATAAAAACTCTTCATCTCAGAGCTTTTTTTTTTACCTCAGGGATCTCAAGGGTGTTCAGAACCTTTTCAAGTAAAATAATGTGGCCCAAGATGAGAAGCAGCCACCAGACCTTCTCTGTGAAGGGGCTGTTTCTCACTCACCACTGCAACCCTGGTGTCAGGCCCTTGACACTTGCTGGGTAGGAGGATGGCTGAGCTATGACAGGAGCAGCAGAGTGGTGGCTAACTCGTGTGTTCGTGCACTACAGATACCGTTTGGAATCTTCCTGAGGGAGGCTTCCAGGTGTTGAAAATGTTGGTTGGGTTGGGTTGGAGTGTCAGGCCCTCCTGGCACAGAGCAGTCCCCACTCTGGGAACAGCTTGGTACCTGGTGGCAGATCCAGTTTTGCTGGCTAGTGCTCTGATCGGCTTCTCAACCACAAACTCCTTGGGCTGCCAGGAGAGGCTCCATGGGGGGGGGGGGGGTTGCTCCTAGGTGGAGTGGAGCCAGATACTGGAGTCGTCATTCTGGCATTTTCTGCGTTGCAGACTGATGAAGAGAAGCAGAAGGACTTACCTGTGGTGATGCCAGTTTTTGACAGAAATACCTGCAGCATCCCCAAATCCCAAATCTCTTTCATTGACTACTTCATCACAGACATGTTTGATGCTTGGGACGGTAAGAACTCTTAGAGCATATTTCCCTAAATAAGGGGAACCGCCTATTAAGTAGCAAATAGTGTCTTTGACTCTAGAATATGTTTGGGGGCTTAGACTTTCAAGAAAGACTGAGGAGAAGAAATGAGCCATCACTGAGGGCTCTTTGTGCACTTTCTCACTAGCTGCCCACCTCCCCAGGGGGAGACGGTTATGCCAGTTTCATAGATGAGAGAACTGAACTTGGGGCTGCACAGCTAGTAGTAAAGAGTCTAGGATTCAAAACCATGAACGTGGACTCCAAACCCCCACAGTGTTCCTGTGGGAGCCCTTCTGCCATCTGTTCTCCCAGCTTCTCCTGGGCCTCCCTCCATAGCAGACCCGAGAGTGGGCTGGTCTCTGACTAATGCACATCGCTCTCATTTACCCTTCAGTGTGCACAGAGGAGCCTGGCTCGAGAAAGTAGAGGATTCTCAGAGAAGAGGCCTCACTAATGCTCCCCAGGCATCTGCTCTGCCTGCCCTGGGGGCTGCACTTGGGAGAAGGGCTGCAGGGCAGATAAACACCAGATCTGGTCGGCAGGAGACCAACACCCGCTGCCCACCTTGCGCGCCCCCCCCCCCCCGGCCATCTCATAGGGAGCAGAGTGGGGAGGGCTGGGGAGGGGCTTTGTGGTCGGGAAATAGGACTGAGCCAGTGGAGGCTTTGGGGCCAGACTGCAGACTCTCGAGCTCACTGCTTCTGGGACTGAGATCAGACACGTGGCCCCTCCATGCCCCATTTTCTTCATGTGTCAACTGGCTTGCTCCCCGCCCATGCCCTCAAGGCTGCGATGCTGGTGGGAGGAGACGGTGTAAGTGAAGCATGTGGCAGTCTGTGGGGGGACACACAGCAGAGCCAGTCAGGGCCTGGCTCCTGGCACTGCCATAAGGTTGGAGGCTCACTACACTTTGTTCCTGACATGGTTCCCAGGCCCAAGGTGCTGATTAACTGGTAATTAAGCAGATTAGCCTCTGTCTGTTTTATTTACCAGGATTGTCAGCTCAACAGGTGGTCATAGAGGAGCTGCTGGACTTCATTTCAGTAAACCCGGTTCATTCAAGCTGCTGTGTGTTTGCTTGTGTCTGTTTAGCAGTATGCAAATGTCTACTCCTGCCCGTCCCCCTTCCCTAAAATACTCTCTCCTTAGAAAGCCTAAAATTCTAAACTGAGGCTGTGAGAGGATATCACATTCCCATCTTTTTCTCCAGCCTTTGTAGACCTGCCTGAGTTAATGCAGCATCTTGACAACAACTTTAAATACTGGAAACGACTCGACGAGATGAAGCTGCGGAGCCTCCGCCCACCTCCTGAATAGTTCGTGACACCCCCTGGGGCCCTGAAGCTTTGTCCCTCGGTCATTTGAATTCCTGAGGGCAGCCAGAGTCCCTTGGTCCTTTCAGTATTAGGCAGAACAGTCCCCAGGTCTGCACAGCCTGTGAAAGCACACGGGGACCTTGGTAACCTTCTGTAGCCACCATCTGATGCCATTGCCATAAAGTGAGACCCAGTCCACTGTACCTGGGCCTGCTGCAGGGGCTCTTCAGGTCACCTGAGGACCATGGTTTGTATTAACTTTTGTTAAAACACAAGCGTGGGAGTGCCCCTGCAAAGGACATTGACGTATTTCCTGCCAGTGACAGAGAATGTCTTGTTGCAAACAATTTCTCTCAATTATTTTCAGCACTTAAGAACAGCTAATGGCAATCGGATCTTTAGCAACTTTTTCCACATCATAGAAGGTGCAATCACTTGCTCTGGAACACTACTGAAAGTGACTTCTCTTTTAAGATTGAGTAGCAAATGAAAAATACAAAGAAATTTTGAAGTTGATTATTAATATCAATTATTAAAATGTTTTATTTATTTTATTAGAAGTTCAATATTTTCTATGAATTTAAAAATACTTCAAAGCCAAAGCCAACTCTAAATGCCATGACCAAATTTACATGATTCATATGCATTACATATGTATCACTTGGTGTACACACTTATTTTCATAATGCAAATTAAAAATATAAATGAGACATTTTTACTGCACTACAGAAATATTTGTGTATGTTAAACTTTTCTGATTGACGCTAATTGGGAAAAGCTGTTTTGTGGGTGGGTCTGACTCTAGAGAGCTCAAGGAGACGGGCTCCTTCTGTGTAGAAACCAGAGCTCTGAGCCCTCCAGTCATCTGATGGGCTTCGCAGGTGCCTCCCCAGAGTAAAAGAAATTTGGAGTTAACACTTTTTTCCTAAATTTTTATAACTGAATTTCCAAAAGTCTACCTTATTTTATAGTGTTTCTATAAAATATTCCCTATAAAAATGGAGTGAAAACGGAATATTTAGTGAATTGACATTTTATAACCAATCTGTTTTCATCTGCAGTGGGAATCTTTGATTCCAGAAATTTACAAAGGTTCCATACCTTCACATTTTGATTAAGTGTAGTACCATAAAAAATGATGACATGTCAAAGTGCTTGTCATTTCATTTTAAACTTGTATTTTTTTTTCCAAATAAAAATGAAATTAAACTATTTTTAAGAAATCATGTGTTGCCTTTTCTTTGGAGTTTTATAATACTTAAAATATTTCATCTTTTTCTCCCTCTGAATAAAGAAGCTACCTTTATTTTGTAGAAAAGGTTAATAGTTAAATGACTTTTTCAAAGTCACAAAGGGCCGATGGAATATGTTGAAAAATCCTCAGAACTACCTTTACTTCACCACTGGGTACCCATTCAGAGAGATCGGGAACTCTGGAGGTCTGCCAGGGCCAGCTCCTCAGGGGTCTCTTTGTCTAAGGAAACAACGGCCCCTTTTTCCTGGAAGATATTTGACTTAAGTTGATAATTGTGGACTGAGGTGGGGAGAAAGCCCTCTTCCCACTTCCAGGTGCCAGGAAAGAAAAGAAAATGACCCCTACAAGGAACTCAACCATCATGAGGTAGAGACAGCAGGGCATGCAATGTTTGGAATTTGTGCTACCAAGAACTAGGAATAATCTGAAAGAGACTTTAAGGTGAGTGTGTTTAACATGTTTGAAGAGATAAAAGAAGCAATAGAAATCATAAGGTAAACCAAGATAGTTTAAAAAAGAATAGGTAGATTTGAAAAAGAACCAAAAAGATATTCTAGATATGAAGAATATAGTCATTGAAACTAACAGAAAACCTCTGTACAGGTTTAACAGAAGACCAGACATTACTAAAGAGAGAATTAGTAAATTGGAAGACTTAAGGAAATCACTCAGCACATAGCACAGAGATATTAAAAATGGAAAATATGAAACAAAGTTAAAATATTGAGGGTAGAATGAAATGCTTCAAAATGTGTCTAAATTAGGAGATGCAGAAGAGAGAATAAATGGGCAGAGGCACTATCCAAAGAAGCGTGAGTCCTTCAAGATCTGACAGACACAAGTCCTCAGAGTTAAAAGGCACACTGAATCCCAAATAGGGTGAATAAATCCCCACAACACAGTGAAACTGTAGAGAATTGAGCTCAAAGAGAAAAACCTAAAGGTGTGAGAAAAGACAGATCACTTACAGAGGAGCTAGTGTTAGACTGCTGTCAGACTTCTCATCTGCAACAACCAGAAGACAATGGAATAATGTTTTCAAGAGACTGAAGGAAATTGTCAACCTAGAATTATACCTAATTAAACTATGATTCAAGAGTGAAGGTGAAGGTAATCCTAGACATAAACACACACAGTTAGTTAATTGTAAACAGACCGCTGTGGAAAGAACTACTGAAAGATGCACGTCTATAAAATGAGTCCAGAAAGAAGAGGTAGGTTACAGAAAGCAGTGGTAAACAGATTAGTAAACATCTGGGTAAAACTAAGTATATTGAGTGGGAAAAAATAACAGTGACATATAATCAGGAGTAGGGGGAGCAGGTACATAAAATAGGATAAGCTATTCAGGAGGACAAAAGAGATTTATTATAGATTAGACTTTCAATATGATTACTGAAAAGGGAACTTGTCAAAAGAATAAAAATGTGAAATTTAAAATCACTAAGGGGATAAAGTGACAAACACAACCAATAAGACAAATGGAAAAATAAAGTATGAATTAGAAAATATGACGGGCCAGCCTGGTGGTGCAAGTGGTTAAATGCACGAGCTCCGCTGCGGCGGCCCAGGGTTTGTGGGTTCGGATCCCAGGCGCACCAACGCACCACTTATTAAGCCATGCTGTGGCGGCGTCCCATATAAAGTAGAGGAAGATGGGCACGGATGTTAGCCCAGGGCCAGTCTTCCTCAGCAAAAAGAGAGGAGGATTGGCATGGATGTTAGCTCAGGGCTGGTCTTCCTCACACACACACACAAAAAGAAACCCAGAAAATACGACAGAAATAAGTACAAATATAAGCTCACAGAATATGCAAAATCAATTCTAGATTAAAGATCCATATGTGAAAAAAATATTTTTGACATTGGAATGGGGGAAAATATTCTTAAAATCATACCAAAAGCTTTAGAAAGCATAAAAGAAATTATCTACAAAAGTTAAAAATTCTTCATGACAAAATATATAAACCATGCTAAAAAACGTGCCACATATTTAGAGATGACCTATAGAAATAAGAAATTAGTATCCAGAATATATAAAGAATGTATGTAAGTCAAAAGAAAAGGGGGAAACAACAAGATATTTTACACCCTTCAGATTAACAAAAGTTTTTAAAATCTGGCAATACCAAGTGTTGTTGAGGGTATGAGAAAAGGTTAACTTTTAAACATCAATGGTAGGAATGTAAGATTAGTACAGTTACAGTAAAGAGCAATTTGGAAATAAGTACTAAAGTTTTCAATTCAGCAATTTTACTCCTGGATCCTAGAAAAATTTGCAAATGTGCACAAGAAGACATGTTCAAGAATCTTCATGCTAGATTTTTGTCATTGTGAAAAAGTAGAAACAATCTGAATGTCCTTAGGAGAATGGATAGATTGTGGTATTATACTCAGACTATGGTATATTGTGGTAGATAGATAGATAGTTTCTAAAATGGCTCCCAATGATCCCTGCCTCCTGGTCTTCACACCTTCGGGCTGGACCTAATGGCTTGCTTCTAACCAATATGGCAAAAATGATGGAGTGCCACTTCCAAGATGTGGCTACAGAAGGTAGTATATTAGTTTCCTAGGGCTGCCATAACAAATTACCACAAATTGGTGGCTTAAAACAACAGAAATTTATTTTCTCAAAGTTCTGGGGTCCAGAAGTCTGAAATTGAGGTGTTGACAGGTGGTTCCTTTTGTAGGCTGTGAGGGCCCATGGTTTCCCTCTCTCCTAGTTCTTGGTAATGCCAGCAATCCTTAGCATTCCTTCACTTGTAGATGCATTATTCCAGTCTGCCTCCATCTTCACCTGGCCGCCTCTGTGTGTCTCTCTGACCTCTCCTCTTATAAGGACACTAGTCATTTAGGGCCCACTCTGAATTCGATGGTTTCATCTCACAATCCTTAACTGATTACATCTGCAAAGACCCTATTTCCAAATAAGGTCACATTCTGAGGCTCCAGGGACTCTGAATTTGGGGGGACACTGTTCAGCCCATTACAGATGGTGATATCTATCTTGCTTGCGCTCTTGTTCTTATTTGCTTGCTCTGATGAAGCAAGCTGCCGTGTTGTGAGCTGCCCTACAGAGAGGCCTATGTGGCAACAAAGTGAGGGTAGCCTCCACCCACAGCCACTGTGGGACTGATCCATGCTGCCAGCAACCACAGGAGTGTGTTGGAAGCAGATTGTGCCACAGTCAGGTCATTATATGAAGAGACTGCCAAGATATATTGGTAGGTGGGAAAAAGGCAGAAACAAAACATTATACATATGTGCTAGCATTTGTTTCAATGTATCAGAAATGATACAGAATTATTTATGACAGCTCTGCTTGTAATAGTAAAACATTGGAAACAGCCTAAATATCATTTAAGAAGAGTTAGTATGTTGGTATGTTTTTACGATGGAATACTATGCAGGTATAAAGAATCAGGGGCCAGCCCGGTGGCATAGTGGTTAAGTTTGTGTGCTCCGCTTCTGCAGGGTCTGGGATTCACAGGTTTGGATCCCGGGCGCGCACTTACACACCGCTTATCAAGCCATGCTGTGGTGGTGTCCCACATACAAAATAGAGGAAGATGGGCATGGCTGTTAGCTCAGAGCTAATCTTCCTCAGTGAAAAAAGAGGAAGATTGGCAACGGATGTTAGCTCAGGGGCCAATCTTCCTCACCAAAAAAAAAAAAAAAAGAATGAGGAATTTCTTCATGTGCTTATATGAAGAGACTGCCAAGATATATTGGTAAGTGGGAAAAAGGCAGAAACAAAACATTATACATATGTGCTAGCATTTGTTTAAATGCTAAATAACAAAATCTCTGGATGTACACACAAGAAACGAGTAACACAGATTGCCTGTGGGGAAAGAAACAGTGGCTAGGGAACACTGCTAGAGGGGAGACTTTGCATTGTGTGTCCATTTGTCCCTTTTGAATTTTGAACAGTGCTCCTGAAAAATACAAAAGATTTGAATAAATGAAAAGGCATACCCTATTTTCAGGATGAGTGAGTTTTGTAAAAATGTCATTTGTTCCCTTAAGTATTCTATGAATTGAGCATGATTCCCAATTGAAAAAAAAATCTTTTTAATCTAGTCAAGTCATTCTAATGTTCATACAGTGTGTGAAGGTCAGGAAAATTCTGAAAATGAAAAATAGAGAGGATTATCCCAAGATATGAAAACATAAAGCTGCCATGATTAAAACATTGAAGCACTGACCCCTGTTTAGATGAGTAAAAAGAACTGAAGAGAACCAGAAATAGAACAAAACACAGGAATTCAGCGTATGACTCAGGTGCTATTTCACATCAGTAGAGGAAAGATGGATTTATTCAATAAATGGTGTTGGGATGACTTCTTAATGTGCCAATGCTTTTAAAAGTAAAAATTAAACATAAAAATATTAGAAGAAACCATGAAGAAAATATCTTTATCATCTCTCAGTGGAAAAGGCATGACAAAACCCAGAGTTCATTAAAAAAAAAAAAAACCTGCTAATTTCACCTATGTTTAAAGGAAAAGACAATCTGCCCGGGCCAGGGCTCGGGGTCAGCGAGGGGATGTTGAGTTGGAAGACAGCACTAATTCAAATGACCATCAGCAACGTAGGGACCATGCAGAAGTCTCATGGGTGCTCGTCGCCGCTGTTTATAAGATTGAGAAGTTGGAAACAACTAAAATGCTTGACAATAGATGACTGTTAAGAAAAGTTCAGTATGACTCTAAAATGGAGTTCTTTGCAGCCACTAAAAATAATGATTTAGAAAATCATTCAGTGAAATGGGCAACCTCATGGCTATATTGTTAACATAGTTATTAACAAGTTGAAGATCAGTATACATGGAATGATCCATTTTGGGGGTAAGGGGGAAGATATATGTGATGAGGAAAAAAGACCAGAAAGAAATACACTCGAACACTTAACAGTGGTTCTCTCTGGAGGCTGGGATTACTGGGGCCTTATTGCCTGCCTTGT